TTAATGAAATTAAATCATAAAAAGTTTTTATCGAAAAGCAGTTGGAATATTAGGGGATCGCCTAAACCAACCCAACCGTCACCTACAGTGGCCGGTAGTGGTGGTGGTGGTGGTCAACCAATTAGACGTAAAGGTAGCGATCGGTTCATACATAGACTGGCCAACAACAATGATAACACTGGCCAACAACAACATAGCGATATCAATAGCATACCCAACGATGATAATGATATGATACCACTGTCATCATCGGCGGCTTACGGATCGTCTAACAAAACTACCGCTACTGGCGGTGGTGTTGGCCGTAGTCTTAGGCGTAGTCGCGGGATGTCCTATTCGGTAACCGATTTGCGTGAACTGTCCGGCAAAAAGGATTTTGATTGGCTGGAAGCTAGCGATGACTTTCAGCAGGAAATCAAAGATAGGAGACATGAGATGTATATCGCGGAGATAGAGATGGACTCATTTCATCATTTGGGACCTACTCTTAGGTTTGTATTGTTTTTTTACTAACGATAATACTAATGATAAATATATATATATTTAAAAAAAAATTTAAATTTTAAAAAAATTATATTCAAATCAATTGTTTGAAAAACTTTTTTTTTCTGTTGGTTTATATTATATAAAAGTACTGTAAATCGTGTCGTCATTTATGTTGTTAGCATTCAAACCAGTGATACGCCTATTATTATACTGTGTATTGAAATCTGTATTATTTTTTTTTTTTTGTAAAACTAGAGGACTTTATTTATTAGTATAGTATTTATTTTATAAATAAACCGTAAAAATTATATACTGTATAACAAGTAATATAATTGATTAATTAATTAAAAAAAAGATACCAACAAAAAAATCAAATCCGATTTTTTTAAACTTGAAAAAATTTAATTAATTAAATCTATAGTTTATATTTACTATTTAATAATAATAATAATAAAACAGTAATTAAATTGTCGGGCAATTCATATATACCGGTAATTATTGTTCAAAAAAAAAATCCCGGAAACCGAACACTTTTTTAAATACCGTAATTAAATTGTCGGGCAATTCATATATATCGGTAATTATTGTTAGAAAAAATCCCGGAAACCGAACACTTTTTGGAATACCGTAATTAAATTGTCGGACAATTCATATATATAATTGTTTTTTTAAAAATCCCGAAACCGAACCATTGTATTAAAAAAAACTGTAATTAAATTATCGGTCAATTCATATATACCGGTAATTATTGTTTTTTAAAAAAAAATCCCGGAAACCGAACCCGTTTTATTTTTAAAACCCGTTACGATTTCCTAATCTACTATTTGAATGTCAATATTGAATGACTAACTGATTGAATGATTCAGTCAATCAATGATTCAATCAATTTATTGACAGTTTTTTTTAGTTAATAGTCAACTGTTTTTTAGTGTGTTTTTAAAAAAAAAAAATCAAAAATCATTTAATGATTTTTAATGTGAAAAACAATTAATTGATTGACGACTACATCGACGACAACAACAAGTGATAAACAAAACACAAGACTTTTTTCTTTGACCACACAATATGAGTACAACAACAACAACAACAACAACGACAACATCTCAAGACATTATCAATACTACCGCAAGACTAGACAAACAAAACAAGACAACCGCTGTGACCGCAGTCGCCGCTACCGTCGGGAAGACAACAACAACAGCGACGACGACAATGTCATCGGTAGCCGACTATGTGACCAATGACCACAAGTTTGACAATCTTATTGTCGAATTGGAGTCGTCGGACATCAATCTGGCCACTGTCTTGAGGTCACTATATATGATATATATATATATATGATATCCATCATCAATGTTACCACCAAATAGTCTGAGTGATACCACACATGTGTTGTTGTGGTTGTTGTGGTGGTTGTTGTCCATCAACTCCTACTTCCCCGTAGATGTGATATGTCTTTAAAGATTGTCTAATCATAGATGAATCACCCGATTGTTTGTTTTTAACCTCTAGTTGTCCATCAATGTGGTGGTAGTAGTAGTAGTAGTGATGATAATCAATGTTACCACCAAATAGTCTGTGATATCACACATATGTTGTGGATGTTGTGGTGGTTGTTGTCCATCAACTCCTACTTCCCCGTAGATGTGATATGTCTTTAAAGATTGTCTAATCATAGATGAATCACCCGATTGTTTGTTTTTAACCTCTAGTTGTCCATCAATGTGGTGGTAGTAGTAGTAGTAGTGATGATAATCAATGTTACCACCAAATAGTCTGTGATATCACACATATGTTGTGGATGTTGTGGTGGTTGTTGTCCATCAACTCCTACTTCCCCGTAGATGTGATATGTCTTTAAAGATTGTCTATTCATAGATGAATCACCCGATTGTTTGTACCTCTAGTTGTCCATCAATTTGTTGTAGTAGTAGTAGTGATGATAATCTAATAGTTGTAATACATATGTCTTTAGGAGATATTATGTTTGTTTTTGTTTGTTAATTACTTAACCATTAATTGTATACAAAAAATAATAGATCCATAAGTTTGTTGATCTCTCTCTCTCTGTCTGTCTGTCTGTCTGTCTGTCTGTCTGTCTCAATCTCTCTCTCTCTCTCTCTCTCTCTCTCTCTCTCTCTCTCTCTCTCTATCTATCTATCTATCTCTCTATCTTTTTCTCTATCTCTTTATCTATCTCTCTATAATTGATAACTAATTTATAATCTTTATCTTCTGTATCTTCAGAGCCATCTATGACGGCGACGAACACCAGAAGTTTATGGAGAAATTGGACGCAAGAATACGCAATCACGACAAAGACATTGAACGGATGTGCAATTGTCACTACCAAGGCTTCGTCGACTGTATCCATGAGCTGCTTCAGGTCCGCCCTCAAGTACGCCATTTGAACGAAGAAATCGTTGCCATCAATAATGAACTGCAAAAATCATCCGACAGTGTCATACGAAAAGCCGACGAACTAATCAAATACCGGCGTGTAGTGGCCAATACATCCATAGCCATCGATCATCTGCAGCAATGTCTACCCGTACTGGATATGTATACGAAACTAGAGTCACAAATGGATGAACGCAAATACTATCCGGCACTGAAAACACTGGAACAGTTGGAAACAACTTATTTACCAAGAGTTGCCAAATACCGATTTGCGCAGACAATGTGCGAAAAGATACCGCAAATCCGGGAACAAATCAAAACCGTATCGATGACCGACTTGAAAGACTTTCTGGAAAACATACGTAAAATGTCCATAAAAATCGGCGAACTATCGATGCGTACCGTTGCTCATCAGCAGAATATTGCCGACGCAGTTGTCTTAAACAACAATCAGTCAGCGACGACACAGTTGTCGTCACAATATAACAATACCAGTGCTGTGTTGAATAACAACAACAACACGGGAACAACAAATGTGGTCACAAACGGCGGCGGTTTCAACAACAACATCAACAACAACAATGATGACAGCGATTACAACAGTGATAGACAACAACCAAATAATCGTAAACCAAAACCACGTAAACGTAGAGCTCCGCCGCCACCATCAACGTCATCCTCGTCATCGATGTCGACGACAACAGGTAATCCGTTTGGCGACGACAACCACGAAGACACCGAAGAGTCGACAAACACCGAATCGGATGCCAACAATACGGCCAGCGAAGAGGAACTCAGTGCTACCGATTTGGTCGACTTTTCACCCGTCTATCGATGTTTGCATATATTCGGTTGTCTCGGTGCTCGGGAACAATTTGAACAATACTATCGCCAACAGCGACTACAACAGGCAAAACTGGCACTACAGCAGCCGATTCAGATGAACGACGTAATCGACGGTTACAATGAATATCTGTGCGGTGTTGTCGGCTTTTTTGTCATCGAAGACCACATTATGAATACGTCGAACGGTTTGGTCATCAAAACCTATTTGGCCGAAGTCTGGGAAAATGCATTGCAAACCATAATCGCCTCAATGAGGACACACCTGTCCTACTGTACGGATCCGAATCTGATGTTGAAAATCAAACGCTTGATTATGTTATTCAGTTATACATTGCAAAGCTATGGCTATAATGTATCACTTTTGCTGAATCTGTTCATCGAAATGCGTGATCAATACAATGATATACTGATGAAACATTGGGTTAATGTTTTCAAAACCATCTTCGACTCGGATAACTATCATCCGATTCAAGTAAACAACTTACAAGAATATGTGGCCATTAATTCGGAATTTCCGTTCTACGAGTCGGAAGTGGTTAGCTGTAGTCAATCGGGTAGTAGTAGTAGTGGTCAGGAATTTCCCAAAAAGTTTCCGTTTTCGCTGTTTGTGCCAAAAGTCTACAAAGAAGTCAAACAATTCATATTCGCTTGTCTTAAGTTCAGTGAAGATCTGAATCTGAATCAAACAGAAATCGAGGACAGAGTACGCAAATCAACTAATCTGTTGCTAACGCGAACATTGAACGAATGTTTGTCTAGTCTTATCAAAAAACATAACTTAGGTCTACTACAGCTGATCCAGATTACCATCAATACAAACTATTTAGAAGAATCATCCATTTATTTAGAAGATTTCATAACGAAAACTATCAATCAGTCTTCCGTTTTTATGGGCACATCTGGTGTTACATCGCCGACCAGTCTGGTGCCATCATCCACGTCATCGTCGGCTAACGATACCTCTCATTTGGCCCGACTTCAGGGCCGGACAATGTTCAAAGATATCCGATCCGATGCCGAATCGCAGATCTATTTACGTTTGAATCAGAAAATCGACGAATTCCTGGATCTGGCTAACTATGATTGGCTATTAGTCGAAAGTCCTGGTATGGCCTCCGCCTATATATCCGATTTGATAGCCTTCCTCAAGAGTACGTTCCAGGCGTTCACTAATCTACCCCTAAAAGTAGCCCAAACTGCCTGTCTGTCCGCTTGTAAACACATATCGTCATCGCTGCTAAACTTCTTGATGGACGAAGAAGTCAAATGTATTTCATGGGGTGTTTTACAACAATTCAATTTGGATCTAATCCAATGCGAACTCTTTGCCAGCAGTGAACCGGTCCGCGAGTTCGAAGAAGGATCACTGCAGATGTGTTTCGCCGAACTCAGACAACTAATGGATTTGTTTACCGAAATTGATTCGTGGAGTAACTATTTTGCCGATTATGGTAAACAAGAATCCCGTTATCTGCGAGTTAATCCCCAGACGGCACTAACATTGATGGAGAAGCTCAGGGAAGGGGAGAAAAAAAAGGGTACACTGTTTGCATCGTTGACGAAGAATGAAAGAGAAAAGAAGAATAAAACGGATACTGTGGTTAAAAAATTGAAACAATTGATTATCAATAATAATGTCAATCAATAATAAAATTTTAGTTAATTAATTAATTAATTAATTTAAATTAAATAAATAATTGACTATTTTTTATATATACAGTATATATTGATATATTAATATAATATATATATAATATCATAGATATTATTAAATATATTGGATGTGTTTATATTAAGAGATTATTTTTTATTATTATTATAAATTAATTACTTATAATATATATTTTTTTTGTTTTTTGATTTATTTATTATTATTAATGCCATTGTGTGTGTGTGAATGTGTGTGTGTGTGTGTGTGTGTAAAACAATCGCTGTTTTAGATTTAAATTATTGTTTTTAAAATTTATTGTGTTTTTTGATTTGGTGGACAAATTTACAGTAATTAATAATAGTTTTTTTTATAAAAAAAATACCCAATTGTTTTATTTTCTAATTTAATAAAATGTTTAATTTTATTAAATTTTTAATATTATTGTATAATTATGTTTTTCAATTGCCATAATTGTTTAGTTTTTTATTTTTTGAAAAAAATGTGATGTCTAACTACAATTTAAAAAATAATTATAATTGATATATATATATATAAATGAAATTAAGTGATATACTAAAATTATAAAAATATATATATTTGTATAAATTTTATTTATATTATTATTATTACTACTAATAAGGCTATTGTAGTAATTTTTATTAGTAGTAAATATAGATTATTGAAAATTTCAATTTGAAATGCAATGTAAAAAAATAATATTTTGATTATTATTAATAATACTGTATATACTGTAATTACAGTAATAAATAAAAAAAATTGGTAGCTATTAATTAATTAAGTAATTATTTTTGATTGTAATTATTAAATTAAAAGTTAGTATTAAAAAATAATGGTTGGTATCATACATGAAAATCAAGTGTTTTTTTGTGGAAATTTATTGGAAATAATTTTTTTTAATTGGAAAATAATATTAGTATCGATAAGAGATTTTCCCCAAAATAAAAATTTCTACAAAAATATAAATATTTATTTATTATAGTAATTCATGTGTGAGTATTATTATCGGTACAGTTAAAACTCGTTTTTATTCCCATATGGATATGTCAAAGTCATGGGAAATAATGCGAGTTTTTTCCCATATGAAAAAATATTTTTTAACATAAAATCATAATTTCCCACCCCTTGTTTTTAATACATTTTTTATTAAAATTATGTTAATGGTCTATAACAATAAAAATTTTGATTTAACAATAATTTACTTTACCGATAGTTAGTTTTAAATAAATTATATAAATGCATACAGTTTTTATTTACCGGTAATATTAGTTAACGGTAGTATTTAACATTACAGCTCCCTTTCTCTCCCATTCCCCCAATTTTGCTTTTCCCCATAGACTCGTTTAATTTACCAGGGGTGTGAAAAAATACGAGTTTTTCCCATATGAAATTTTTTTTTCATTTTTTTTTAAATTCCTTATGGGAAATTAAACGAGTTTTTACGGTAATATAATATTATTTAGAAAACTATAATAATAGTAATAATATTTTTTGTTAATTAATAAATATTTTATATTTTATAAATATTTACTGTATAATTGCCTACATATAATCTTAAGTTAAAATCTATTTATATAATATAATATTATTTTTATATCTTATTTAATGATTATACTAATTAACATAAATCAAATTGTTTATAATATTTTTAGACAGATCATAATGATATATACTGTATATATATACTGTATATATATATACTGCATATTTAAATATATATAGATTAATATTAAAAATAATTTTATACTTAATTGAACGATTTATTTAAGTTTTAGTAAATTAGTTTCTAAATATATAATGTTTTAAATTATATTTATGTATTTTTAGTAAACTTTAAAATGCATATTTATTTTTTACTGTATATATTTCAATTTGATTCAAATCAAATATTTTTTTCAAAAATCATAAATATTTCACATTTCAAGTTTAATACTGTTTTTAAATATTTATAACTATTAATAATATTACAACATTTATATATTTATTATACAGTATAATAAAACTTATTATTTATTTTAAGTAATAATATCATATTTAATATCATTAATTATTTTGTTTAATACCGTAAAATAATAAATAAAAATCTATTTTTATAAGTTATAGATGCAATTGTATTGCATATAATAATTTCATAATAAACTTAAATTTTTAAATAATGTGATTAATTATTATTATAAGTCTATTACTATATTATTAATTATATTAATAATAGACAATTGAATAGTTTATTATCAATATACAACTGTATTATTATTATTATAATAAAAATTATTATTATTTTTGATAAATTGCTTTAAAAAAATCAATTGTTTTTTATTTTATTTCATATTTAAATGTATAAAATAATGTGTATATATATTTTAATATGATATTTGGTAGAGTAATAAAAACAAACAAAAAATCATAACTTTTTAAACTATTAATTATAACTTATAATAATAATAATTTATAATATTATTTTTGTAAATAAATAAATATAAAATTTTATAATAATATTATTATGATATTATAATAGTAGTAAACTTTTAAATATTTTTTTCATAAGTGTTTACTATTTATGTTGTTGTTATTATTGGTGAATATAATTATGAATTTTGACATTTATTTAATTTAATTTTTTTGTTGTTGATATACATATTAAACTAACAATAATAATAACAAAATAAAATGTCAATCAAAAAATTATTAATTAAAAAATTAAAAATCAATGAAATAAATTTCAAAGCTATCGACAAATTAGAGAGATTTCTAGTTAAACATCATTTAGTGGCTTCAAAATCATTTCAGGACTATATGTCGGGCGAAATCAATAGTAGACGACTGTCCATATGCTGGACAGTCAACCTATTCCTTATGATATTGACCTTAAAATTTGGTTTACTATCCATTTATAACCCCAAATGGCTACTGGTATTAATCGGTGAATTTGTCTACGAGTTAGCACCCATACGGCTAATGGCCGGCATATTGTTTTGCGGCGGATGTATAGCCACTTTTCGGCAATTTTTGAACCTATATTTTGAACAACGATTCAAATTCAGGGCCATTGATGTCCTGTTTGGTGTCCGCAAGCGCCGAGGTTTGTACCGATTGGACGACAAATATGCCAAATCTTATTGTCTGCGAACCCGACTGATGGCCGAACTATTTCTGGATCGACTACTGGCCGACAGTACTCTGGTATTTACCGTCGGCTTGAGTTGGACAGCATTTGAGGCCTATATGGATCCGGAAATGTCGCACAGTTTACCGAAAATTATTATCTCTAATATATCGTTAATAGTTTGGGGACGTTATTGTATAGCAATATTTTCGGCCGATTTTCTAACATTTTATTGTATAACACTTTATCTGAAATATGCTTTCCGACAGTTGACCACACAATTGAAGCCCCGATCCCTACAATTGTTGACAACTACTAGTAGTAGTGGTGGTCAGCCATCAGCGCCGTTGCCGTCATCGACGGTGTCGTCATCACCGCATCAGACAATTATCGATGCTATCGATACACACCGTCAACTCAATAACCTAACCGTCCGATTGAATAAATTTTTCTGCAACTCACTGGGCATACTCTACCTGTGCGGCACACCGGCCGTCAATATACTAATCAAACTGAGTCTCAGTTCAGACTTTCCCGTTTGGAAACGACTGTTCTTTGTATTCCTATTTACCGAACTTCAACTACTCATGTATTTGATAACCTTTTCGGCGGCCAACATATCCACCGAAAATACACGACTACCCCGTCATTGCTATAAACTGTTCAGTACTTACCATCGATGGCTACCATTAAGATTATCACTGAAAGTGCAATCATTTATCGAGAAACTTACCCAACAGTTCATCGGATTTTATTGTTTCAATTTTTTTCCGTACACTAAATCCTCGTTTTACGAATATTTCCTATTGGTTTCCATTAACTATATATTAGTGTACAAAATGATTACCAGATTTCATACGCTAATCATAACTGAAGAAAATGAAAATTTATAAAAAAATTGATTTTTATTGATTTTTATTAATTAATTATTAATTAATTTATATAATATACTTTTCAAGGTAATAAATGATTAAAAGTAAAATTTAAATTTTTTTTTATTAATATAATAATTAATTTCTAGTATAAATAAAATAATATATCTATTAAATTGTTTTTAAAAAATTGCAATCATTATAACTATTCAACAAAAAAATTAAAAATATATTTATTAATATATAATAATTAATTTCAAATATTAATTAAATAATAAATCTATTAAATTGTTTCAAAAAAATTGCAATCATTATAACTATTCAACAAAAAAATTAAAAATATATTTATTAATATATAATAATTAATTTTTAAAAATATTAATTAAATAATAAATCTATTAAATTGTTTCAAAAAAAATTTCAATCATTATAACTATTCAACAAAAAATTTTAAAAATTATTTATAATTATAATTAGATATTAACTAAAAATCTAAATAATATAAATAATATTAAATTAAATATATTATTAAATATATGATAAAAAATTACACAATTTTTTTTTAGTTTTGATGACCAAATCCGATGATAATATCAAATATTTCTGACGCTTCAGTCACTGATTGTTGTATTCAATGAATGAATATATATTTTTTTTTATGGATTTTTAAAATTTTTTTTATTTATTTTATTGAAATTTTAATTTTTCAATAAATATATTTATATCCATTAAATAAATTAACAAAACATCCAGTGGCTGAAGCATCGCAAATAAATGATCCAAAAAATTAATTATTATTATTATAATAATTATTATTATGTAAATTGTTGTTGAAATTAATAAAATTATTATTAACTATATATAGAAATTAAATTAATTAATTATTATTATTATTATCAAAATATTTATTTATTTAAAAAAATATTATTTACTTATTATATATTTTATTTATAAATATTTAAATACATATATTTACTAATTTATTATTATTATTATCAAAATATTTATTTAATAAAATATTCTTTACTTATTATATATTTATAAATATTTAAATACATATATTTATTATTATTATCATATTATTAAAATATTTATTAAACAAAAAATTCTTTAGTTATTATATATATATATATATACTATTATTTATAAATATTAAATACATATTTTTTTAAATAATTTATTATTATTATTATCATAACATTGATAACACACACAAACATACATAAAATATTTTTATTATATATTAGAGGACACTTACAAAAATAGTTATCATTTTTATTGAGAAATTACTCTCAAAATACACACCCATTTTCACTATAAAACAATAGTTATTAATACAGTATTGTTATTATTATTATTAATAACAAATAACATATGATATAATCTATATATAGTTATATATATATATAATCCATAAATTTTCAATTGATTTACCATTTGTTATATCCTATTATTATTATTATTATATAATGCAGTTTCTCGTTGTTGACAACTTATATATATATATATAATATACAGTCTATCTCTCTATTAATATAATTATTTTTAGTAACATATTATTAGATGATAGCCAAAACAACATATAATATAGTATATATATATATATACTGTATATATATATAGAGTATAAATATAAATTGAGAGATGATATAACCATTTACTACACTATATATATGTGTATATACACTGTATGTGTGACATATTATTGACAGCCAATAGTATAGTTATAATAAAAAGGGAAACTTATGTCACAAACAAACAAAAAACAAAAACAAAAAAAAAATTTCATTAGTTATATAAACATTAGTTTTATTACTTAATTTTTTTTTTATTATATTTCCCATACACTATGTATTTAGTGTAATAGTATACTAAAAGCACAAAAAAAATTATATATATATTTTTATAGAGAGAGAGAGAGTTTTATATCTGTCCCCAAACTCTAGTTAATTATATTTTTTTTACACAAATTATTTTTATATTATAGTTGTGTCGACAAAATGAGAGCACATTTTTATTATGTCTGATTTAATGTTATTAGTCATTATAATACCAACAAAAAAAATTACTAATTTTTTTTATTGGATTTATTAATGATATATCATTATTAAGTATTACAGAATAAAAATTATTATATACAGTATATAACAATTAGATGAAAAAAAATCAAATTAAATAATTGATATGAATTATTTTTTTTGGTAATTAAATAACTATTGAATTACTATTATATATATAATACAGTAATAATAATTACAATTCAAATACACGGAAATTACAAACAATTTTTGTTGTTGTTTTAGTTGATTGTATAGATAAACCTATTGTATATAAAGATTTTATACATTTTTAGTGTATTAATACTGTAGTACTAGTAGTTGTATATAACTTTAGTTATGTAGCCATAAATCCCATGGTTTATATATACAGTATATATTCAATATATAATATAAGTATTACATTATATATATATATATATAAAATTTATGTATATTTAATGAATTTAGTACATAGTTTCCAACGCAACCAAAATGATTTTAATTAATAATTTATATGATTTTTTGTGTGTGTTGTTGTTATAATAGTTTAGTTGACTCTCTATCAGTCCCTTATATACTATATATATACTGTATATACATATATAGTATATACTGTATATATACTGTATATACACTATTGTATTATTTTAAGTGTTCAATAAATTACAGGTATTATTATTGTTAGATATATTGGTACATGTATTGTATAAGTTATATATAAAGTAAAGTTTGTTTAGGAAAACATTAATTTTTGTATATATTAATAATAATTGCTTTTTATGTAATGCACTTTACTTTTTATGAATACCAAACATAACATATACCAGTATTTTATATTATTTTATTACTTTATTATTATATATTTATAAATCTATATATTTAAGTATTCAATAAATACTATGTATATATATATATATATATATAAAACAGAAAATACTTAATAATATATAATATACAGTATAATACTTTAGTTTTTTTTATTGTTGTATTTCATACGACAAATAATGTTACCCATAAATTATTAATAATTCAATATAGTTTGTCACACAAAAAAATATATATAACAATATATTGTATATATATATATATATATATATTTGACGTGAGATACCTATTAAATCAACTATTTTAATGATTAGTTTTTTTGCTATAATATATATATATATATGTTTATATGCAAGAATATTCTTGCTATTAAATAAATTATTATATTTAATATATTATTATTTTATACGTTATTAGAATTTAAATTCAAATAAAAATTTTATTTTTTAAAAATAAACCTTGATGATTTGAAAAATTTGTCTAACTGTCTACACAATTATTGTGTCTAACCGTAAAATAAATTATCATAATAAATATATATATCAATTCAACTTAAAAAATAAATAAAATTTAATTTATTTCAACAAAAATATATTATATTAACATTGCATAAAATTAACATTAAAAATATTTTTATTGCTAATAACTATATATATTCTCTATTTTTTATTGCTATTTATAATAATGGTTTTAATTCATTTAAATATATTTATATTTATTCAAATAAAACTTAAACCAACAAAAATAAATAAATAAAAAATAATTTTAATGATCGCAATGTTTGTTAGGTTTGTCGCGACATAACTCCAGAAACAGTGTCTTTGCCTCTGAGACACCGTTTTTTGCCGCAAACTTCAATAGTTCCCGGACTTCGCCTTTAAATTTTAAGTACAATTTTTTTTGGTGACTATTTATATATTATTTTTTATATATTTTTTAAATACCTTTTTTAACATCAGTTTTATAGCCGCTTAGATGACCGGCGGCTAAATTGTAGGCCGAATGCGGGTTTCCCTTATCGGCCGATCGGCGAAACCAGTGAAACGCACCGCTAGTATTCCGGCGATTGGCCAACAGTTTGTGGCCTAACAAGTGCTGTGCACTGGGATCGTCCCAGTGATGGGCAAAATGATGGGTCAGATGATAGTGAAACAGATCAAAGTGATAGTATGTAAAGTAGATGACAAATATGCCGGCAATTGCGGCAAATATCTGCATATTTTTTTTAAAAATCAATAGAAAAATATTTTTTTAGTAAATTATAAAATATTTTTTTAGTAAATTATAAAATATTTTTTTTAGTAAATTATATAATATTTTTTTCAGTAAATTATAAATTATTTTTTTTAGTACATTATAAAACATTTTTTTTAGTTAAATTATTAATTATTTTTTAGCAAATAATAATTTTTTAGTATATTATTAAACATTTTTTTTAGTAAATTATAAAATATTTTCTTTTAGTAAATTATAAAATATTTTTTTAGTAAATTATAAAATATATTTTTTTAAGTAAATTATAAAATATTTTTTTTAGTAAATTATAAAATATTTCTTTTGTAAGTTATAAAATATTTCTTTAGTAAATTTTAAAATATTTTTTTAGTAAATTATAATGTATTTTCTTTTAGTAAATTATAAAATATTTTTTAGTAAATTATATATTCTTTTAGTAAATTATAAAATATTTTATAAAAATAATTAATTTTTTTTGTTAATCACTTGCCTCTAACCAAACCATTAGTTTTGTATCGGCTTTCTTACGTCTGGCGTATGAAATCCTTGGTCTACTCATCAGTGGATCAGTTAGTATTGCCGAAGATTTAGATGATGTCGAAGAAGTAGTTATTATCAACTCATCTGAAGAAGCAGAAGATTTTCTTCGACGTCTAATTCCAACCATTTTTTTCAATAAAATATTTAATTTACAAAAAAAATTGTTTAATTAGTTTCTTATTATTATTATTATTTTATTTATTTTTTTATAATTGTGTGTTAAGTCAACAAAATACTAATTAAATAGTTATATATATATATATATATATATAGGATTGTTGTTTAGCACAGGTATGTTAAGTAACTATTATTTTTTGTTAGTAAAATCAGTGCACTGTTTGTTGTTTGTTGTATTGATTTTTTTGTTTTGATATTTTATTTTTCATCTGAAAATTGGTTTCCCAAGTGATGATAATCTACAGTAAGTTTTATATATATATATATATATATATATATATATATATCAACCAATAATGTGATGGTTTATTAGATTAATTAGTTATTAATTGATTAATATATATATATATTATTGATAATATTTTAATTATTAAATAATAATAATAGTAATGATAATAGTTTATTATAATACTTTTTTTTTAAAAAAAAGTTATAATATATATTAGTAATTTAAAGTATTTTAATTTATTAAATTTTTATTAATTATTTGTATTTTTTTTAAAAAAAATCTGATTTAAAAAAGTATCTAAACTTTTATAATTAGATTTTGATTGTTTTAATTTTATATTTAATAATTTAATATATTTTATATTTTTAGTAAATTAATTCAAATTAAATGTTTTATGTTTAATGTGTAACAAATAATAAATTTTAAATTACACTTTTTTATATTGATTTATTTATTGTAAATTTTTCATATTTTTCAAAATTTTTACAAAACAATTTATAGCTATTTTTAAGGACTACAACAATAAAACACTAAAAAAATTAAAGTTTAGTTTTAATATGTGTTTTATTATAATTAATTTTATTTTCAAAAAAATAACACATTTGTTAATTAACATTTTACATTATTAATTATAACTATTTTTAGCTAATAATTTTTAATATATATATTTTTATATTTATTATTTAATAAACATATTTGGTAATACAGTATTTAATTTTAAAAAATAGTTATATTTATATAAGTAGTTTATTGCAATTAAAACTGTTTAACACAATTATCATTATATTAATAAAATAATACTTTAAAAAATTGATAAAATCTTAATTTAGTTATAAGTAATTTATTACTTATAATGTATCTTGCTAAATTAATTATACTGCTACTATTATGTATATTGTTGAATGCCATAATAGTTTATGGTTAGTTTATTTTATATATTAAATATTAATATTATTATTATTAAAATTAATATTATTATTAAATAGTATTATTATTATTAAATAGTATTATTATTATTAAAATTATTATTATTATTATTATTATTATTATTATTATTATTATTAAATATTATTATTATTATTAAATATTATTATTATTATTAAAATTAATATTATATTAATATTATTATTAAAATTAATATTATATTAATATTATTATTAAAATTAATATTACTATTAAAATTAATATTATTATTAAAATTAGCATGCATCCCAAATAGCCAACACTGTAAACTAAATAGTGATTGTTGCAATAATTATTGTCGCAGTTTTAATAATAAAATGGAATGTTGGGATAATAAATGTCAACCGGATGGCGATGAATGCGAAAATAATTCGGATTGTTGTAACAATTATTGTCGCAATAATAATAATAGATGGGAATGCTGGAAAAAAGATGATAACCAAGGTAAGCAATCAACAGTAAATTCGAACAGTGACAACCAAGGAGGTTATTTATATTGATTATTATTATTATTAAATGCTATAAATGTATCTTGCTAAACTAATTGTTATATACTATTTGTTATGTATATTGTTGATTGTCATTGTAGTTTATGGTTAGTTTATTTTATATATTAAATATTATTATTAAAAATAATATTATTATTATTAAAAATAATAATATTATTATTATTAAATTTAGTATTATATTATTATTATTAAAACTAATATTATTATTATATTATTATTATTAAAAATAATTTTATTAATATTATTAAATTTAGTATTATATTATTATTATTATATATTATTATTTTTATTATTAAAATTAGCATGCACCGCAAATAGCCAACCCTGTAAACTTAATAGTGATTGTTGCAATAATTATTGTCGCAGTTTCAATAATAAAATGGAATGTTGGGATAAAAAATGCCAACCGGATGGCGATGAATGTGAAAATAACTCGGATTGTTGTAACAATTATTGTCGCCTTTATAATAATAGATGGGAATGCTGGAAAAGTGATGATAACCAAGGTTCGCAATCGACAGTAAATTCTAACAGTGAAAGTCAAGGGTCAGTATCTACAGAAAACACTGATAATGCAAACCAAGTGTCAGAATCTACAGTAAATTCTGACAGTGAAAGCCAAGGGTCAGAATCTACAGTAAATTCTGATAGTGAAAGCCAAGGGTCAGAATCTACAGTAAATTCTGATAGTGAAAGCCAAGGGTCAGAATCTACTGTAAATTCTGACAGTGAAAGCCAAGGATCAGAATCTACTGTAAATTCTGACAGTGAAAGCCAAGGGTCAGAATCTACAGTAAATTCTGATAGTGAAAGCCAAGGGTCAGAATCTACAGTAAATTCTGACAGTGAAAGCCAAGGATCAGAATCTACTGTAAATTCTGACAGTGAAAGCCAAGGATCAGAATCTACTGTAAATTCTGACAGTGAAAGCCAAGGATCAGAATCTACTGTAAATTCTGACAGTGAAAGCCAAGGATCAGAATCTACTGTAAATTCTGACAGTGAAAGCCAAGGATCAGAATCTACTGTAAATTCTGACAGTGAAAGCCAAGGCTCCGAACCTACAGAAAACACAAACAATGAAAGTCAAGGTTCAGAACCTACAGAAAACACTAACAATGAAAGCCAAGGTTCATAATCTACAGAAAATTCTGACAATTAAAATCTTAAAAAATGTAAAACAAATAAAAAATAAGCATATTAGTTTTATGCTTATAAAATTATAGTTATATATATATAAATATAAATTATTAATAAAGTTATATATATATATATAAATTTTTAATAAAGTTATATATATATATATAAATTATTAATAAAGTTTAGAGCTGTATAGAATATTTTTTTTAAAAAAAATTAACAATGTACATATTTAACAATAATTTTTTAACTCTATAATATAATAATTGTAAATTTAGTCACACTAGTTATTAAATTTATTTTCTGATAAAATTGAATAAATGTCTATTTTAATCATAGTTTAAATTTTAACAAATTGTATTTTCAAAAAATTGGTTTAATGATAAAAATTATTATTATTCCACAAAAATAAAGTAGTTTAAAAATTTGTGATTAATATATAAAATAAAAATATATTTAAAAAATAAATAAATAACAATAAACTGTTTGTATAGTTTTCAAATAAAAGATTTAAATGTTTATTAATTAATTAAATTCAGTTAAATTTTGTATTATAAAAATTTTTTTATTAATTTTAAAATAAACATATATTTTATATTTATAGTAATAAAATGGCCATTGTTGAATTTTCCTATATTTATAGTAATATAGGAAAATTCAACAATGGCCATTTTTATATAACAATATTGCCGCCATTGTTTCATTATATAAAATTTATTGTTGATTATTTATTATTAACTGGAGGTGGGGGTGGGCTCAGTTGATTTTTTTTATATACCACCCATACCACCACCACCATCACCACCGATCATATCACTGAACGTATCCATAACACCAGTCATAGCTCCCAAACCCATCCTAAACAAGGAGGCAATCGGATTGCTTATAGATGTCCCTAAATCATAGCCCATATCATTATCATTGAATGTTTGCTGTTGTGGGGGTAGTAATGAATTTTTTAACTTTTTATCCAATTTATAACCACCACTACCACCAACATCAACAACGCCTCCTTTTTTAAATATTAGTTGTCCGCCATTTTTGTCCATAAAATCATTATTGTTAAGGATTTTTGATATACTTTTAATCACTTTTAAAATGTTTTTAGCCAACTCTAGTTCCTGTTTAACCTTCACTTTCTCCTCGTTATTACCATTGATTGTTGTTGTAATTACTGGTTATTTTTTGTATAAAAAAATCAAATAATAATAATAATAATAATTAAATATATATAAAAATAAATAATTACCAAACAATAGTAGAATAGTTATGAATATTATGTTTAATTTAAACATTATTTTCTTATATATTAGAATTAGTTTTATTTAAAAACTTTTTTTTTAAGTTTAATATTAGAAGTTTAGAAAAAAAAACAGTTAACTAATGTATAGATAACTTATTTTTAATTTTTTTTTGTGTTTAATTATATGATTATTTAATTTAAAATCTATAAATAAAAATTTTTCTTTTTTAATTACCAAATAGACGTCAACTAAAAAAAAAACATAACTAAAAATAAAATTCATATCAATTTCATTGACATAACTACAACAAAAAAAGCAAATGTTTTTTTATCTAAATTTATTTATAGAAATTTAGTTTTTTAAAAAATATTTCTATTAATTACCTATTAATGCTAATATTAAAAGTTAAAGATAAAAAAACATAAATTTATATATCTTAGCTTAAATTATTAAATAATATTTTATACAAATGTCAACAAAAAATTAATAATAAGAAAATAATTTTTATGAAATTTTATTTTATTGCAATATTATTAATAAATATAAATATATTTTTATTATAAATAATATCATATATATATATATATATATATATATATATATATATATATATATATATATAATCAGTAAAAATCTAAACGAAAAATTAATAATAAGAAAATAATTTTCAATAGACATGAATTTATTTTATTGCATTATTAATAATTAAAAATAAAATTTTATAATAAATAATATTATATATATTTATATATATATTTTAATATAATAAGAGATAACAACAATTAACTAATGGTTACACTGATTACTAAAAAATTTTAGATTAATTATATTTATATACTGTATATATATGAAACAATGAAAATACAATAACCTATATTTAACATTACTTTAATAAGTAAATACTTAATAAAAGATTTGTGTAACTAAACAATTAATCATTAAATTATATATTTTGTTTTAATATTTTTTAGTATTTTAACAAATAAAATGCAATTAATAGTTTTAAAAAAATGGGTAAAAAATCTACTAAAAATTAATAAGCAATGAAAATAATAATATTAATACACAAATATTTTTTCTACAAATATCTACAAAAAAAAAAATAATATTAAGAAAATAATTTTTAGAGACCTATGAATTTATTGCATTATTAATAAATATAAATAACATTTTTATCATAAATAATATAAACAACTAAAAAAATATATAAATTAGTTATAATAACAGATAACAACAATTAACTAATGGTTACACTGATAAGCAAATAAATGGCAATAATATTTTAGGTAAAATATATATATAAATTAATGAAACAATGAAAATATAATAACTTATATTTAACATTGCTTACAACTAAATAGTTTAATAAAAATTTGTGTAATTATAAAAACTAATTATTAAATTTTATACTGTTTTAATATTCTATAGTATTTTAATTAAAAACAGTAATTAATAGTTAAAAAAAAATGGGTAACAAATTAACTAAATTAATAAGCAATGAAAATAATAATATAAATGATTGGATCAAAAAAATTGATAAGTTTTATGTATTTGACGACGAATTGGGGGTTAATATGTTGTTTGTGGCCAAAGATGATGATCGGGTCTACGGATTGGGTGCTAATCTCTACGGATCACTGGGTTTGGGACACAACCAGTGGGTGAGTGAACCACAAGAAATCATTGAATTGTCAAATAAAAAGTGTATTAAATTCATAAACGGAAGTGAATTCATTGTTTGTCTGACAAATTATAACGGTGTCTATAGTTGTGGTAAAGATCGAAATGGACAGTTAGGTCGGGGAAGTGATAGCAATAAATATAAGAAACCAATGATTATACAAATCAATGCAAACAATGATTTGATACGTGATATGAGTTGCGGTTTATATCATACATTAGTTGTAACCGATAATAATGAAGTGTATGGTTGGGGTCGCAATCATTTCGGACAAATCGGTAGCCGAGACACCACTTGTGAATCAATTACTAAACCGGAAAAAATAAAATTTAATGACAATTATTGTATAAAATCTGTTCACTGTTTTGATAACTCATCGTTTGCACTGACAAGTGATGGACAGGTGTTTAGTTGGGGTCAAAATCGTTGCAATCAATTGGGACTTAATTGCAATAATCTAATTATATGTAGACCACAGTTGATATGTAATCTAACGGGTATTACATCCATCCAATCGGGTGCAGGAAAAACATATTTCAGTAGTGATTGTAAAAATAATGTTTATATTTGTGGTGAATATTACAATGAAAATAATGTAATTGATATACAAATGATACCAAAATTATTGGGAAATTGTAATGAATTTAGTGATATTCAGTCAATTAAATCCTATAAATGGAATGAAACGCTATATATGTGTTCAATGGATGATATTGTCTATCAATTGTTTAGAAACAACAAATTTAATACAAAATTTACAAATTATTTTGATTATTGTGTCAATAGTTTTCATATAACATATAAAACATTTAATTCAATTGAATTTACTAAACGAAAAAAGAAATTTATGAAATATACGATTAAAACAATTAAATCTGATTATAAAAGTTTAGATACATTGAACTCAGGTTTGTTTTTTTTCTTAACATTTTAATTATATATATATATATATTGAATACTAATTGAGTTTTAATTTATATATATATTTATAGATAAAGTTTATAATACATATTATAGCTGTTATGATGAGTTGCAAGCATTGGGTTCGGGAAGCTTTGGATCGGTTTTCAAATGCAAACATAAATTGAATAATAATATAATTGCCATAAAAATTATTCAATTGCCAGGTATTTATTTATTAGACAAATTTTCACAAATTTTAAAAATTTAAAAATTTAAATTAATTTTGAATACTAAACGAAAGTTATAATATTCAAAAATAATATATTAGTTAAAAAAATTTTAATACTTGATTAATACAAATATTAATTTTAAAATTTAAAAAAACTATTATTCTATCATTAATTTTTAATCATTAATATATTAAATAATTTAATAAGTTATTTGTTATTATTATTATTATTATTATTATTATAAAAATATAGGGTAGTAAAAGTTAAAAAGTATAAAAATAAACAATTATTTAAATATTTATATAAAATGTAAAGTATATAAATATATATCAAAATTATATTATACAGAAAAACAGTTATAATATTCAAAATAATATATTAGTTATGAAACCAAAATTAAAAAATAATAATTTATGCATAAAAATATTTATTTTATAATTTTAATAAAACTATTATTCTATCATTAATTTATAATCATTTTATTCAACAACAAAATATATATTAAATAATTTATTAAGAAATTTGTTATTATTATGATAATAACAAATATAAAAATAAACATTTATTTATATATTTATATAAAGTGTAAGGTATATAGATATATATCAAAATTATATTATAGAGAAAAACGTAATATTTTACAGAAAGTTTATAATTTAATTTTGTATTTTTCTACTTTATATTATTTTTTTCAAAAATTTTTATATATTATTTCAAAATCATAACAGAAAACAGTTTAGTAAATGACATGTATTTTAAAGAAATTGAAAGACTAACTAAAATAACGGCACAATATTTAGTTAATTATAACGCATTTTGGTGTTACAAAAATTGTATATATATTGAAATGGATTATTGCATAATGAGTCTGAAAGAGGCCATCAAATTGAGAGCACAGGTATTTGGCAGACAATCATCAGATGAACCCATGGATTGTATGGAGTATTACATTACGTGTGAAATACTATTAGAAGTGTTAGAAAGTGTACGATATTTGCATGAATTGAATCCACCGGTCATTCATCGCGATCTCAAACCCGACAACATATTGATAGCCAATGACATCATAAACGGACGGTTCGTTAAGTTATGTGATTTGGGATTATTAACAGTTCACGAAAAGTTGTCACAAACTAATACGGCTGGTGTGGGAACTCCTTATTTTATGGCACCCGAAGTCATAAGTGGTCGCAAATATAACACAAAAGCTGATGTCTATAGCATTGGGGCTACAATTGAAAAGCTATTTGATATTGATATCAATGAGTAAATTAATACATTTAATTAAATTTTATTTAATAATATTTATATAATTTTATTTTATTTATCTTTTAGAAAATAGAAATAAATTTTTATTTCAATGATTTAATTATACATTTAATTTATATTTTATTTAATTAATAACTTTTACTTATCTGTTATTATTAGATCGCGTGATAAATATATATCCAGTGCTTGGAGTGACAAATATAAGAAATTATTTGACATTACAATTAGTGCAACAAAAACTTTATACGCACAGAGACCTACCTGTGCTCAGATCATTGAACAGTACAATGAATGGGCTATCGATAGCACAGTTGTTACAAATGATGTCGAGTTTAATGAAAAACTCCAACAAATCAAACACAAGGAATGGAAACTCCGTATAGAAAACATGGATTCAGAGCCAGAATTATGGCAATTGTTTTATACATTTGTTTGCATTAAAACTAAATATTTTAATATAAATATTTAGATTTATGTAAAAAATTAAACAATTACTTTATACGTAATTATTAAAATAAATATTTATAATAAATAAATATTATTGTTTATCTAATAACTTATTAATTAAAAACATATATGATTTATATTATTAATTTAATACTAAATTATTGATTTTGAATATTATTTATTTGATAAAAAATAGTTGATTTCAATAATCTTATTGGAAATATATTTTTAAAAAATGACAAAAAGTTTTTCATAATTTAATATAATTTTGTAAAAAAATATACATTTATTTATATAATAGTTATAAAAAATAGTACATTATTAAATTATATGTATTAATAAAATTAATTATATAACTAAATTTTTATACGATATATAAATAGATTAATATATTTCTAGAATTTAATTTAATAAAATTTTTAAATTAATACATTTATGTTAATAATAATAACAATAATAACTTAATAACTAGAAATCTTAGTAATAGTATCACTAGTAATAATATATAATACATTTTATTTTTAACAAAAACAAAATTATTTATCAAATATAATATAAGGCGTGGTTCACATATTACGTTCGCACTTGAGTAAAGGGGGTGGATTAGTCAAAGCGAATTTTTGCTAACGAGGGGGAGGGGAGGAAAGTTCGTATTTAGATACTATTTTATTTTTTGTGGTGAGGGAGGGGGGGTTAGCAGTTTGGGACATGTAAAGGCAATTTTATTTAAATGACTACATTCAAACAACTTGCGAACATAGGGCAGGGAGGGAGGGGGTCTAAATTTCTTAAAAAGTTCAAACGTAATTTTTTAAAAATTACTACATGCGAACAATTGCAAACATAGGTGGGGGAGGGGGTCTAGATTTTCTTAAAAAGTGCGAACGTAATATGTGAACCACGCCTAATGATTTTTTTAAACAGTTTTTACTCTTTTTAAATGTATTCTAATAAATGTATCTATAAATCATTTATAATGTTGACATATTGTTTAATTAATTAATTAATTAATTTGATTACTAGTTTATCTTATTATTAATTAGTTATTTGGTAAAAGGTATCAGTCTTTTTAACACTGGATTAGTATAGCATATTTTATTATTAAAACAATAACCAATACAACAATCCTGGTCAGTTATACATGGTTTACCTTGTTTAGTGCAATTATTTATTGGTTTTTCCATATAGCATTTCATTTGTTTATCTAATTCATCTTGTTGACAATAATTATCGCAACAATCATGATTATTTCTACACAAACTACCCGGTTTCAGGCATTTATCAATCCAGCATTCCCATCTACCATTAAAATTACGACAATAATTGTTACAACAATGATAGTTATCTGTACAGGGTTCGCCTGGTTTATAACAGGTATTATCAGCTGGATCAGATTTTTTTGATTGATTTTTTTGTTGTTGAAATAAAGTACATAAAAATATAATTAGAATTTTGTTTGTTTGTTAAACTTTATAAATTATATCTATAGATTTAAGTTTTAATTATTAATTTAAAGTTTATGGTTTAGTAATTAAATTTATACTAAAACTAATCTGTATAGTTTAACAAAAATATTTTTTTTTAAATACGATAGCTATGTATGCGTAAAACATACAAAACTATTGTATTTATTATTATTATTTTTATAAATCTATTTATAATTGCCTTAAAAAATACCTGTATATTGTATATAAAAAATAAAATATTATAATTAATTCAATCTATATTCTAATAATAATCTAATAATCTAATAATCTATAAATATATCTATCAATTAATAAAAGATAATAAATTTAAATTCTATATATAAATACTTTTAAAAAGTATCATAAATCTAAATAAAAATATTATTAAATTTAAATAGTTTTTTTTAAATTATTACTAATATTAAACAAATAAATTAAAAATATTACACTTTGTATAGCATTTATAATTTTCCGATCTTTTCATCTTGATACATTTAGCATCGTTATAACAACAATGTACTTTATTGTTACAGGGTTGGCCTTCCTCACTGCATATTAGTTTTCCATCTGCAATAATAATAATAATATTATTATTAAATGAAAACAAAAATTAAAATAATTAACAAAAAAAAATCAATTTTATAATATTTATAATTACAGTATTAGTATTTGTATTTAGTGTTGTTATAATTTTTCAATTAGTTTTTTTTATATATATACTGTAATTACTAACCAACAATAGTCAACAATGTACATAATAGCAACAATACAATTAGTTTAGCAATAATCATCATTAATAGCATTTAATAATAATAACTAAAATAAAATATTTAACAAAATTTTACTACTTGATATATATATATATATATATTATGCTAATAATTATCAGCAAAATAAAATTATTAATGAAATATATAATATAATTTTATTATTAACAAATATGTTTAATATTAATAATATACAGGTATATATATAATTTAGAATTATTAGCTAAATAAAATTATAATTAATAATGTAAGTCATAGATATATAGTAATTTATATGTTATGTTAATAATAAAATATGTTTTTATAAATAATAAAATATATTATGATAAAATATTTTTTTTAAAAAACTTAGTCTAATATATTATTGTTATCAAATATTAATAATATTAATAATATTTATATATATTAGAATTTTTAGTTAAATAAAATTATAATTAATAATGTAAAAAAATTATATATATATATATATCTGTAGACTATTATCTTAAAGTATTATCTTGATTGAGGGTCATTTAACTTTATCTCCCTTTACCCTCCTATACATATCCTTTATTTTTTTAAAATTTTGCTGTCCATCTGTTTATTGACGTATAATATTCAGTGTTTTACAGTTTAAAGAACAACAAGTTGAAGTTATTATTGATACTTTATGTAAACTGTAAAACACTGAAGATTATTACAAGAAACTTTAAAATTCATTAAAAAAAACCCTGATTATAAAACATTTTTGTCATATTTAAATACTAAAACAATTCCTCAATATATCAAATTTGCTTCATTAGCTAGTTTTTATTATAATTATAATAAAAATAACATATTTTTTATTTTTTTTTAATTTTTAAAAATTTGTATACATAATATTTTACAATACTGTATAAATAAATTGTTTCTTATTATTTTATTTCCCCGGATTTCAAACGTTTTAATACACACACAGACACACATACATTTAGAAGTTTGTTTTTTTTATAAATACAATCATTGTATTGCAGAACAACTATAGTCTACGTGACAGGAAATATATATATATATTATTTATATAAAAAAACTTTTAGCTTATCCTATATATTTTTTTTTGGAAATAATATTTAATTAATTAAATTGTTAAAATTTCAACTAGTTTTCGAAATAATCGAATTTCAATATAAATCATACTTTTTGTAATTTGATATTATAATTTATATTTTGAAATTCGATTATTTCGAAAACTAGTCGACATATTTAAAATTTTGTTTCTAGAATTATTTGAAAATATAATCTAATATATATATAATATTCATAAATAACGTCATTTTTATTTTTTTTAAAACTATTTTATATTGTGTTGTGTTGCCGTCTTTTCTGTCCACTACATGCGCTGTTAGTTCTGGACCATAGTCGACACACACAACTCCGAGATCTGTCCGATGATAGATCTCGCCAATGATCGCTTGCTGATAGTCTTAGTAATCCTCAATAATATCACAGTTGACACAATGAAGTAATCCGAATAATGGTACACACATTATAATAATTAAAAGTATTGTTTATTAATAATTGATTAAATATAAGTATACATCAGTACATAAAACATCAGTACATAAAATATAACAACACTGCACTGCCCGGAACTGCCGACCAATGATATGCAAGTTTATGCATAGCAAAGGCCTGCCAGTCCAGGCAGAGCTTTAGCTACTGTTAGAGTTAACTGTTTTAAGTCTAAACTCTATAGCTCTTGAGCTGACCAGTTTAAGTCTTAGCTCAACACTTGAGTGACTTTACTATCAGAAGTACCTCAGTATTTATATGCTTTTGAATCAATAGGTCTCATTGTTTGCAGACGACACCAATGAGTGTCGTGTGCACACATGCCTTACTTTACAATATATAAGTTCCCCTCACTTAGACATTACTATATAAATTCCCATTAATAACAAAGACATTACATTTATCTACTTAATATTCCCACTAATATTCCCTAATGTTCCCGTTTAACTACAACCCTATTTATAATAGTGTAACAATTTTAGACGGGATAATTCCCGGGTTTACTCGGGTAATTATCCCTTAATAATATAAGTTTAACTTTTTAATTACCGGACTCCTGATTTGTCCCGTTGGGACTATAATCATGAATCCCGTTTACAACCCTAATGTATGTGGTGTCGGTACCCATCGATAGATGGCAGTACCGGCGCCACAATACATATACATCATTACCTGACAGTAATTATACAATATAATAATAATAATAATAATAATAATAATAATAATAATAATAATCTGTATTACATAATAGTATTTACCTTTTAGTATTGTTTACAATGTATTAACAATCAGTATTTATGCAATAATTAGTTAATTAAATTTAGTTACAGTATTAGATCACAACACTAGTCACTACCACTTAAACAAACCACTACAATATTATTTATAATGTATTATATGAGAAATAACAATAAGTATTAATTAACAATAACTAATAGTATTTATATTGTATTAAAATATATGTATTATAAACAAAAACTATTACACAGTATTATTATATAAAAAGCCGTAAAATATATAGTATTATTATAGTATTTTTAAGTACAAATTACATGTACAGTATTAATAGTAAATATAAAAATAATTTAGCATACTATGCAAAATGCAAAAGTATATCAGTATTTACTGATATGAGGCATTTCCCCTCACTTTAAAATGTTTCTGTCCTCAGAAACAACCATCGTCTCGCATTGCTGTTGATGTTTCCTGCGATTGCTATCATCTTTAACACCGCGTTGACTAATCCTTTATTGTTGACATTTCCTGTTATTGAATGCTAAGGCGTCCCCCAGTATGCCAATAACGTCCATTTAGTTGGTCTTTTCTTGTCCTTAGCTTTATCGTTAATAGTTATATCCTTTCATTATTCTTTTATACTTTAACATTCAGTCAACGACATCTTTCATTTTGTTTACATTTTCATTAACATCAAGAATGTCGACTATTCTTTTTTAACCTTTCAATGTCTATCCTGACATCTCTGTACGGCTCAATACAGTAACTTCTCTTTTAGTTTTCAATTGTATTCTTTGAAATAAAATTTAATTTAATATGTTTTCATTATAATTTTGTAAATTGTTTTATGAGTAAATATGGTTTCAATAACAAGAGTGATCAGTTCTGTCTAATGGAGTCTTTATTTGTTGAGCTCAAAGCAATTTAAAGTCCATGACTTTTTCTTCCAAATCCCAAGTCCATTCATCCGATATGATTTTAACTTTTCTTATTTAAACTGTCGTTTCCATAATTTAGTAATTGTATTGCTTATTGTGTTTAAATTGTTTATTTGGTTATAATTTTGTTTTCATTTGCATCCCAATTTAATAAATTTTAATAACTGTTTGATAAGTTTTAAGCGTGATTAATTATTTTATAATTGTTTTCACCGACATTCAAATAACAATGAACTTGCTTCAGTAAAATCTATCCCTGATTTTACTCAATGTCCCCGACATTACCAGTGGCCACTAAAATAAGTTTATCGTGCTATTCAATTTTAATTAACTTAAAAGCACAATATAAACTTGACGTACAATGACGTAATTTGCTTTGACTCCATTCACAACTTTTCCTTGAGATTAATCCATAATCTCCATTGGTACCAATTAATCAGCTGATTCCACCAAACATTTCAGTATATTTTTATCTTTTTTAGTTCAGTCTATCAGATTTTAAATGTTTCCAGTGATCCAACCTTTATCTTAATTGTAATTCATTTCTTCAGGTGGTCCAATCAGCTATCTTAATATTGCAATATTTATCCCTCCAGATGTAGAGTATCGTTTTTATTTACAGTTAATCGTTTATTTTCTTATTTTCCACACGTGTTTTTATCTTATATCATTGACTACTGACTGCTGTCGACTATACTTGTATTCATCTGTGATGTCTGTGAATTTACAAACTGTAAATTAGTTATCTCTCTGTTGTCCAATTTTAATTGTAATGATTGTGTATATTCCAGTATTTTGTAACTATTTTGTAATTCATTTATTTATTTACTACATTATTATTTTACTTTATTGAATTTTTCGTTGACTATTTTCTATCGTCCGTTGTCTGATAATTATTTTAGTTTATCCACTGTCTATTTTATTTGATTTATTTGTCTATTTTTTTATTCATTGATTCTAGAACATCACTATACATAATGACTGCTACATTTCCCTCAGTCTTTTTTAATTGTTTATTGTTGCTTATTTTACAACACCTTTCGACAGTAGTTTCCATTGACGTCATTGGTTCTAATCTTTCTGTTGATATTTCATATCAGTTAACCATTACTGAAAACCTCTATATTCTGTATCCAGTTTTGTCCATTTCTTTTTGACTTTTTCGTCACTTTTTAATTTTAATGAATTAATTTTTTTTACACTTTTCTATTGATCAGTCCAGTAATTACTTTTTCCGATGATCTCTTGTCATCCTTTTAATTGTCGACCACTTTTTTAAATTATATTTATCCATTGAATTTCTGATTTCTTTTACTTCTATTTACTTCCTTTGACTTTTCAGTAATATTACATTTTTCAATATTATTTTAAGTCTCGATTTACTTTTGAACATAGATTACATATGTCGATTTTCAATCTATTGTCAGTCGATCAGTCGTGTTTTTCTGTCTTCTGTTTAATCACTTGACTACTAGTGTATCTTTTCTATATGTCCACCTGATTGTTTACTTTTTTAGTCACTTTTTTCCAGTTAATATCACTTGATTAACACCGTATTAATAACGCCTTTCGACCATAGTTTTCATATAAATTTTCTTTATTACATTTCCATTGGCCATTAATTCATGCTTGTCATTTGTCAATTTATCAATATGTCCATTTATTGTCCATTTGATTACCTTTAGCTGTTTTTGTTATAACAGTAATTATGATTGATTTCTATTTTAATGGAATTGATTATTGTATTTAACCATTATAAATCGACGATCATTTCTTTTCTTAATCCTTTAATTGTCTCTCTTTAATCAAATATTATCATTAACGTCTTATGTCTTGATATTTGTTTATTAAATTGACTATATTTTGTTTTCTTGTCTATTATTATTTTGTCAAATTTTATCTTTTATCTTCTTTTATCACTAATTTTGATCGCATACTTATGAACTCTTTATCAATATAGATCTGCCATTGATTATCTTCTTTTATTTTCTTTTATTTCTATTTCCATAAATTTTATCGATAATAATTCATTTGTTAATTTTCATTTTATCAGTTTAATAATCAGTTTCATCACCAACTACTTTTGATTTCGATCACATGATCTATTGAACTATCTCCTTTAACGCTTTAGATATTGTATATTATTATTAGTTTTAAGAAATTTTTATTAGTATTTAATTAGTATTTAATTTAACAGTTATTATAAATTTTGATTTATTTTAAATGTCGATTAATAAGAGACATTTTATTAATTTGCGTAAAACATTTATTATTAAATTTTTAAATTTATATCTAATTTTAATTAATCAAATAAGTATAGATAATTAATTAATTTTAAATTGAAGGCTTTGATGACGATTAGCCGCTTCTTCACGCGCTTGTTTTAGAGTCATCATTGTAAACTATGGTAGTTCACAAGAAATCAAATATGTTCTTTGTAAATTATTAAAATTGCTTTTGTCAATTTCATGAGTTCAGTAAACAAAATAAGATAATTTATCTCCTTATTGGTGAGCTAGGTGTTAAACCAATACATTTAAAGTAGTATATCATTTCGATAGACTTGAATATTCTTTCAAGTAGTTGTCGGTGAATTTGTATTATACAGTTCTGCCAAAATTATGTAATCCTTTGTGACGACCATTTTGTGTTCGGCTGCTAAACTATTGCCAGAGACCAATACACATGCTTTAGTCATCAGCATTTGAATTATAGTCGTCGTTTTTACTTTACAATCATTTCCATTACTAGAGCTTATTTTATTTATCTCAATATTATTTGAAACAGCATTTTTTTCGCTATCAGTGATGATATACGGAACGATTTGATTTTTATTTCGAGAAGTTGACGGTTCACAATAAAGTAGGTTTACTGAATTATTAGTTGAATTATTATTAAGCCGCCACTATTTTTGGCATTATTTGTACGTTGTTTGTTACCATATGAGTCCATATACGAGTTACTGTTTTATTATAGTTATGTTATTTGTTGATAAATGTTTGTAGTCACAAAACATTTCCGTTTAAAAAAAATAACCGAACAAGTAGTGTCCGTCTCAATCATTTTTTATTTCAAATTCATATTCTTATTCATCCAGTTTAACAGGTTAGAAGATATTCAAGTGTTTCTACCGACGGTTAAATCGACACACCGTCACAAAAATTTTAGTTATTAGGCGTCATAATTTTATTGCGTTAAACGCGTCTCTAAATAATATAGCCATAGTTCATATGCTAGATCCAGAAAATGATGTAAACACATATCCATTTCCTCTGATGTATACATCCGTTATCTTCATCTGTTGTCTTCATCTGTTGTCTTCATCTGTTGTCTTCATCTGTTGTCTTCATCTGTTGTCTTCATCTGTTGTCTTCATCTGTTGTCTTCATCTGTTGTCTTTATCTGTTGTCTTCATCTGTTGTCTTCATCTGTCTCAGTTGTTTTGATCGTCGTCGTCCATTTTAATTCATGTCTTTATCAAAAGTTATTATCCATTGTCACTATCATTGTCACTATCATTGTCACTATCATTGCACTATCATTGTCACTATTATTGTTGTAAGGTTTTGAGTTCCAGTTTAAGAACTCAGTTAGGTGTTGACTTGTTTAAGTCAATCACAGCGATCATTACATGTCATTCGCACCCCTCAGCCAATTTAAGCCAAGGCTCTCATTCCTTCCATGTAAGGTGAGAAGAGCAGAGGATTAGTGTCAGCTTTTAAACCGACATCCTCTGTTGACAAAAGCACTGTACAACCATTCCCTCGGTGTGTACAGGCCTATGATCATTTTTTGACCTTTAAGTCCTATTTATGAAGAGTGACTTTGGTTTAAAAGTCTACTCATCAATGTTGTTGTAAAGTTTACAGACTAATAATTTTACCACTCTTTCAGTAGAGGTGAGCACCGACTCGTTTAAGTCGATTGCTACCGATTTTAGATGAGTTCTTAATCCTCGACGCTGCCACCAAATGTGTTGTGTTGCCGTCTTTTCTGTCCACTACATGCGCTGTTAGTTCTGGACCATAGTCGACACACACAACTCCGAGATCTGTCCGATGATAGATCTCGCCAATGATCGCTTGCTGATAGTCTTAGTAATCCTCAATAATATCACAGTTGACACAATGAAGTAATCCGAATAATGGTACACACATTATAATAATTAAAAGTATTGTTTATTAATAATTGATTAAATATAAGTATACATCAGTACATAAAACATCAGTACATAAAACATCAGTACATAAAATATAACAACACTGCACTGCCCGGAACTGCCGACCAATGATATGCAAGTTTATGCATAGCAAAGGCCTGCCAGTCCAGGCAGAGCTTTAGCTACTGTTAGAGTTAACTGTTTTAAGTCTAAACTCTATAGCTCTTGAGCTGACCAGTTTAAGTCTTAGCTCAACACTTGAGTGACTTTACTATCAGAAGTACCTCAGTATTTATATGCTTTTGAATCAATAGGTCTCATTGTTTGCAGACGACACCAATGAGTGTCGTGTGCACACATGCCTTACTTTACAATATATAAGTTCCCCTCACTTAGACATTACTATATAAATTCCCATTAATAACAAAGACATTACATTTATCTACTTAATATTCCCACTAATATTCCCTAATGTTCCCGTTTAACTACAACCCTATTTATAATAGTGTAACAATTTTAGACGGGATAATTCCCGGGTTTACTCGGGTAATTATCCCTTAATAATATAAGTTTAACTTTTTAATTACCGGACTCCTGATTTGTCCCGTTGGGACTATAATCATGAATCCCGTTTACAACCCTAATGTATGTGGTGTCGGTACCCATCGATAGATGGCAGTACCGGCGCCACAATACATATACATCATTACCTGACAGTAATTATACAATATAATAATAATAATAATAATAATAATAATAATAATAATAATAATAATAATAATAATCTGTATTACATAATAGTATTTACCTTTTAGTATTGTTTACAATGTATTAACAATCAGTATTTATGCAATAATTAGTTAATTAAATTTAGTTACAGTATTAGATCACAACACTAGTCACTACCACTTAAACAAACCACTACAATATTATTTATAATGTATTATATGAGAAATAACAATAAGTATTAATTAACAATAACTAATAGTATTTATATTGTATTAAAATATATGTATTATAAACAAAAACTATTACACAGTATTATTATATAAAAAGCCGTAAAATATATAGTATTATTATAGTATTTTTAAGTACAAATTACATGTACAGTATTAATAGTAAATATAAAAATAATTTAGCATACTATGCAAAATGCAAAAGTATATCAGTATTTACTGATATGAGGCATTATAATATGATTTATGATAAACTTAACAAGCCATAAAATAATAAAACTACCTATCCGATTATGATGAGTTTTTTTTTATATTAAACTTATTTTTTAGATACAAATTTTCAATCTCATAATAAATTTTTTAATTGTATTTTGACCTGTAGCCTGATTTTGATATTCATATAAATGAGTGAATTATAAATTTAATTGGATTTTATTTAACTTAAAATTTTTTACAATTTTTTATTTGTCTGTCATTAGAGATCGTGATAAATATATATCCAGTGAATGGAGTGATAAATACAATAAATTGTTTGACATTACAATCAGTGCAACAAAAAGTTTCAAAAATACTCAGAGAGACCTACCTGTGCTCAGATTATTGAACAGTACAATGAATGGGCTATCGATAGCACAGTTGTTACTAATAAACCAGAATTTAATGAAAAACTCCAACAAATCAAACACAAGGTATGGAAACTCCGTATAGAAAACATGGATTCAGAGCCAGAATTATGGCAATTGTTTTATACATTTTTTAATCTAAATATTTAGATAGAAATTTAAAAAATTAAACAATTACTTTGTGTGTAATTATTAAAATTAATATTTATAATAAATATAAATCACTTCATTTATAAAAAAAAAAAATTTTTTTTTATCTAATAACTTATTAATTTTAAAGATATATGATTTATATTATTAATTTATAATAATTTTTTTGAGTTTGAATATTATTCATTTGATAAAAAATAGTTGATTTCAATAATCTTAATGAAAATATATTAAAATAAATGACAAAAGTTTTTCTTAATTTAACATAATAAAATTTTGTTAAAAATATATATTTATTTATATAATATTATAGTACATTAAAAATAGTACATTATCTAATTATCAAATTATATCTATTAATCCAAAGTTATCCAATAACTATTAATAAATTTTTATAATCTATATAAATAGCCAAATAAAATAAATTATGCAAAATCTTATTATGCATTTAATGTTAGGCGTTGTTCACATATTACGTTCGCACTTGTGGTGAGGGAGGGGGGGTTAGTCAAAGCGATCTTTTGCGAACGAGGGGAAGGGGAGGGTTTTAAGAGGGAAGAGACTTTAAGAACGTTCGCATTTAGATAATAGTTTATTTCTTATGGGTGATAGAGGGGGTAGCGGTTAGGGCTAAGCGAACGTAATTTTTTTTAAATCACTACATGCGAACATATGGGAGGGAGGGGGTCTAGATTTCTTCAAAAAAAAGTGCGAACGTAATACATGAACGACGCTATTAGCTATTTTTTTTTAAAAAAAAGGTAATTTTAAAAATATAAGCATTTTTTATATTTATCACAAATTCCTTTGCAACAATCTTTTTTAGTTTTACATGGTTGGTCCTGTTTTATGCAACCAGGTCTATTTTTAAAACCATTGCATCTCGAACGTTTATCAATTTTATTTTCCACGCAATTACGGCCACAACAATCGCCATCAACTAAACATTCATTACCCGATGTTAGACAATTAAATTTTTTCCAGCATTCCATTCGACCATTAAATTCGCGACAATAATTGTTGCAACAATCGTGATTATTTCTACATGGAAATCCAGGTTTCAGGCATTTATCTATCCAGCATTCCCATTTACCATTATAATTTCGACAATAATTGTTACAACAATGATAGTTATCTGTACATGGTTCGCCTGGTTTAATACAGTTAGTATCATCTGGTATAGTTGGTTTTTTGATTTTGATTGATTTTTTTTTTGTTGAAATAAAGTAGGTAGAAAAATGATTAGATTCTTTTTGTTTGTTAAATTTTATAAATGATATTTATATACTTAAATTTTTTATAACTATTATTTGGTAAAATATATAAATATATATATATATATATATATATAGATAAGTTTTAAGTTAGGTTAGGTTAGTTTAGGTTAGGTTAGGTTAGGTTAGGTTAGGTTAGGTTAGGTTAGTTTAGTTTAGTTTAGTTTAGTTTAGTTTAGTTTAGTTTAGTTTAGTTTAGTTTAGTTTAGTTTAGTTTAGTTTAGTTTAGTTTAGTTTAGGTTAGGTTAGGTTAGGTTAGGTTAGGTTAGGTTAGGTTAGGTTAGGTTAGGTTAGGTTAGGTTAGGTTAGGTTAGGTTAGGTTAGGTTAGGTTAGGTTAGGTTTTAATTTAAAGTTTAGGGTTTAGTAATTAAATTTATATTTAAACTAATCATTATAGTGATTTCAGTTTTTTGTTAAATTTATAAATGATATCAATATATTTTAATAACTATTATTTGGTAAAATATATAAATTTATATATAGATAAGTTTAAGGTTTAGTAATTAAATTTATACTTAAAATAATCTATTGTTGAACAAAAATAATTAAAAAAATCCCATAGCTATATATATATATATATATATAAAAGCTATATATAAGCTATATATATATATATATATATATAATACAAAACTATTTATTATTATTATTATAAATTTACTTATATCCTAATTGCCTTATAACCTACCAGTATATTGTATATAAAATAAAATATTAATTAATTCAATCTATATTCTAATAATAATAATAATCTACTAATCTATAATTATATATATATACAATATACTGTATATATTAAAAAAAGATAATAATTTTAAATTCTCAAATAACTTAATACTTTAATAAAATATCATAAAAATTAAAAAATATTAAATTTAAATAGTTTTTTTTTAAAAATGTTACTAATATTAACAAATAAATTAAAAATATTACTTTTTAAATAGCATATATAATTTTCCGATCTTTTCATCTGGATACATTTAGATTTTAGATTACAACAACTTATTTTATTGTCACATTGTTCGCCATCATAAGTGCATATTAGTTTTCCATCTATTATAATAATAATAATATTATTAAATCAAAAAAAAAATTAAAATAATTAACAAACAAACAAAAATCTATTTTATTATATATGTATTATTATTAGTATTTGTATTTATTTTTGTTGTTATAAATTTTTAATTAGTTTTTTTTATATAGTTAGTAATTACTAACCAACAATAGACAACAATGTACATAATAGTAACAATACAATTAGTTTAATAGCAATAATCATTATTAATTAGCATTTAATAATAATAATAATAATAATGATAATAACTAAATTAATAGATTTAACAAAATTATAATTTTACTATATTTGTTAGATATAAATATAAATTGTTTGCTAAAAAATTATCAGCAAAATAAAAATATTAATGAAATACACTATATAATATGACTTAATTAATTTTATTAATATCAAATATGTTTAATATTAATATACCGTATATAATTTATATTAGAATTTTTAGCAAAATAAAATTATAATTAAAAATGTAAAAAAATTAGTTATATATACATATACTGTATTTATTGACTGATTGAGATAATTATTTAACTTTAATTTAGTTAAAGTTAGAATTTTTAATTTTTTAAAACTAAACTAGTTTGTCCCGCGAAACATGTGCAATTCTTTTATTAATTTTAAAATATTTGAATGACTGCCATGAATTTGTTTTCCAATCAGATCCCAGCATAACTTATATATACCCTAAATGTATTATAATATGTATATACAATTGTCAACCACAATTAAAAGTCTGATAATAAATGATTACATAAGTTTAACCATGGATCTAATTTTTAATTTTAAAATTTTCGTTTTATAAAAATGTTTTTTGATTTTTATTTTGCTATAATGTAGTTTTCATATGTAGTTATAATATATGTAAAATTTAGTTTAGGCTATCATATTATCTTCAGAAAATATTAATTCCATCTAAGTTTTTAAGAAATTTTAGATTTTTATATATAATTAAAAAATTTTAATAAAAAATATTTATTAAATAATAAATTTTGATAAAAAATTCAGCACAGGTTGCTAACCTCCCGGTGTCTGTGACTCATACAATATGGCAAAATGTTATTACACATCACCTGCTTAACTGAGCCCAAAATCTGTCTGAGCTCAAAAAAATTTAAAATTTCCCATAAAAATAACATGGCTTTCAATAAAGATTAAAAATTTTAATAAAATTAAAAATTTTTGCATTCGAAAACAATTTCCAAAAATTTAGCAAATGTAGCTAAGCTCCCGTTTCCCTGTGATTTGTACAATATAGCAAAATGTTATTACACATTACCTGGCTACCTGTCCCTAAAACCTTGCTGAGCTCAATAAGCATTTTAAATTTCATATAGAAATTTCATTGTTTTAGATAAAAATTGTAAACGTTACAGAACATTTTTAGATTTGAATAAAAAAATAGTTGTTGAGAAAAGGTGTCATATATATATATACATACAGACAAAAATCTGTAGATTATTATCTTAAAGTATTATCTTGATTGAGGGTCATTTATGTTTACCTCCCTTTAGCCTCCTATACATATCCTTTATTTTATTTTTTAATTTTGCTGTCCATCTGTGTATTGACGCAATTCTATTGATAATACAAAAAAAAACTTAAATAGTTTTGATTTTTTTAATTACTGCATTTATTTTCTGATAATTACTGTACAGTAAATTTAATCATACATTTAGTTATAATTTAATTAAATTACTTATAAAACTACAATTATTAGTAAGATAAATAAAATTTATTAATTAAAAATATATATACTTAATAATTTTTTATTAATATTTATAATACAGTATTTTTAATATATTAATTATTTTTAAAAAATAAAATAAAGAAATTTATTAAATAAATTCATATATAAATTTATATAAAAATTTATTTTATTATAACAATTATTTTTTTAGATTTATAAATTTATTATAACGTAATATTATTAATAATAATAATAAATTGAATGTATTTCATTATATCATAAATCATATCATATATATTAGTAATAATAAATGATAACAACAATTAACTAATAGTTACACTGATTATTACAAAATGGTATTAATATTTTAGATTAAATATACAGTATATATGAAACAATATAAATATAATATATTATTTAGTTTTTTAAATTCTGTAATTTTTTATATTTATAATAATTAATTGTAGTTAAAATGGGTAATAAATCAACAAAATTAATAAACAATGAAATAAATGACATAAATATAAAAACAGAAGAATTAACACCAAATGATTGGATCAAAAAGATTGATAGGTTTTATGTGTTTGACGACGAGTTAGGGGTTAATATGCTATTTGTTACCAAAGATGATCGGGTCTATGGATTGGGTGCTAATATCAGAGGATCAGTGGGTTTGGGACACAACCAGTGGGTGAGTGAACCACAAGAGATCATAGAGTTGTCAAATAAAAAGTGTATTAAATTTATAAATGGATTGGAATTCATAGTTTGTTTGACACGTGATAATTGTGTGTATAGTTGGGGTTTAGATAGAAATGGACAGTTAGGTCAGGGATGTGATAGCAATGAACATAAGAAACCAATGATTATACAAATAAATGACAACAATTTGATACGTGATATGAGTTGTGGTTTATATCACACATTAGTTTTAACGCATAATAATGATGTTTATGGTTGGGGTTGTAATGATTTCGGACAAATCGGTAGCCGAGACACCACTTGTGAATCAATTAGTAAACCGGAAAAAATAAAATTTAATGAAAATTATTGTATAAAATCTGTTCACTGTTTTGAAAACTCATCGTTTGCATTGACAAGTGATGGACAGGTGTTTAGTTGGGGACGAAATCAGTGCAATCATTTGGGTATTAATTGCAATAATCTAATGATATGTAGACCACAATTGATATGTAATCTATTGGACATTACATCCATACAATCGGGTGTAGGAAAAACATATTTCAGTAGTGATTATAAAAATAAAGTGTATTTTTGTGGTGAATATTATAATGAAAATAATGTAATTGATATACAAATGACACCAAAATTATTGGGTAATTGTAAACAATTTAGTGATATTCAGTCAATTAAATCTAATAAATGGTATGAAACATCATTTATGTGTTCAATGGATGATATGGTCTATCAATTGTTAAGAAACAAAAAATATAAAACAAAATATAATAATTACTTTGATTATTGTGTTAATAAATATCATATAACATATAAAACATATAACTCGAGTGAATTCAATAACAATATAAGAAATATTATTGAATATACAATTAAAACAATTAAATCTAATTATAAAAGTTTAGATACTTTGAGCTTAGGTTTGTTTTTTATAATTTTTAATTAATATTTATAATATTAATTGACTTTTATTTATATATTTAAAGATACTGTTTATAACCCATATTACAGCTGTTATGATGAGTTGCAAGCATTGGGTTCGGGAAGCTTTGGATCGGTTTATAAATGCAAATATAAATTAAATAATAATATATTTGCAATTAAAATAATTAAATTACCAGGTATTTAGTTTAATAGTTCTATAGACCAGTTAATATAGTATACTATATATAAGAAAAAACAAAATATAATAATTTAATATATTTAGAAAACTTAATTTAGATAAACATTACATGTCTATAACATATTATATTTTACATATTATTAAGAATTTAAATAAATTATTTCTACTTTTTTATTATGATTATTTTTATTTATAAATTTTTAAAAATAAAACAGAGAATAGTTTAATAAATGAAAGAAAAAGCAAAAATTAAATGTCTATATTATATTTTATTTATTTTTTATTATTTTAATAAATTAGTTCTCATTTTTTTTATTAAAATATATTATTTTTATATTTAATTTAAAATCAAACAGAAAATACTTTAATAAATGATATGTATTTAAAAGAAATTGAAAGACTGACTAAAATATCGGCACAATATTTAGTTAACGATAAAAATGTTTGGTATTACAATAATTGTATATATATTTCAATGGATTATTGCATAATGAGTCTGAAAGAGGCCATCAAATTGAAAGCACAGGTATTTGGCAGACAATCATCAGACGAACCCATGGATTGTATGGAGTATTACATTACGTGTGAAATACTATTAGAAGTGTTAGAATGTGTCCGATGTTTACATGAATTTAATCCACCGGTCATTCATCGCGACCTCAAACCCGACAACATATTGATAGCCAACGACATCATAAACGGACGGTTCGTTAAGTTATGTGATTTGGGATTAATAACAGTTCACGAAATGGTATCACAGAGTCATACGTCAGGTGTGGGAAGTCCTAAATATATGGCACCCGAAGTCATAAGTGGTCGCAAATATGACACCAAAGCTGATGTCATAGTATTAGTGTTATTATTGAAGAGTTGTTCGATACGGATGTCAATGAGTTTGTATTAATTATATTTTAATTACTTATAATAAAAATATTTCAATATTTTTATGTTTAGTTCACGCGATAAATATATATCATATGAATGGAGTGACAAATATTGTAAACTATTGAATATTATTAAACATACGATGCAACCGGTCTATAATGACAGACCTACCTGTGCTCACATCATTGATCAGTACAATGAATGGGCTATCGATAGCACAGTTGTTACAAATAATCCCGAGTTTAATGAAAAACTCCAACAAATCAAACACAAGGAATGGAAACTCCGTATAGAAAACATGGATTCAGAGCCAGAATTATGGCAATTGTTTTATACATTTGTTTGCATTAAAACTAAATATTTTAATATAACTTTTTAGATACAATATTAATAATTACTTATCATTATATTTTATATCTTATTACTTATTATGCATTGTATTCAATAAAAATGCATATAAATAAATAAATATTGTTTAAAACATAAGCTTTATATTTCATATTTTGTTGCCATTCATTTTCAACTCTTGTTTATATAAATATCTGATATTTTACATACAATTTATTTTTAAAAAATCAGTTAATAATTTGATTTATTTATTATTGAAATTATTCTTCAATGCACTTAATATTTTCATTAACTAAATATATTTTATTAATAAATACAATTAATAAAAAACTACAAACAAACAAAATAACTATAAGTTTATTAAGTTATAAGGCGTCGTTCACATATTACGTTCGCACTTTTTAAGAAATCTAGACCCCCTCCCTCCCCTATGTTTGCAAATGTTCGCATGTAGTCATTTAAAAAAATTACGTTCGCTTAACCCTAACCGCTACCCCCCCCCCCACCACAAGATATAAGATATTATCTAAATGCGAACGTTCTTAAAGTCTCTGCCCCTCCCCTCCCCCTTGTTCGCAAAAGTTCGCTTTGGCTAACACCCCCCCTCCCCTCAAGTGCGAACGTAATATGTGAACCACGCCTAAATCATTTATAAATGAAATATAATTAGTTGTTTATACAAAATATTTGTAGAAAAATAAAATTATATAAAATAATCAGTTATTAATGTAATCATAATTAAACCATAATTAAATAGCGATTGCTATTGTAAATTAGGATAAATAAAACTTTAATATAGATATATATAAGTGTCTAAGTTAATTATCAATCAGTAAATTATTGTTTTTTTTAAATAAATGTTTCATTTAATTATTGTCGGTTTGCTTTTGATAACATCCAATCCTGATGTGCCATAACTGTCCCATAGCTTGGATCGACTCATCCAAGTGATGGACTCAACAGTCTGTTATAAGCAGGGTTTTAAGAAAATAAGTGCCTGCCCTGGCAATGCCCAAATAGATGCCATAAATGCCTGGCATTTTGGGCATCTATTTTATTTGCCTGCCAATTTAAATTGCTAAAAGCAACTGTATTTATAAAAATAATGTAATTTAGTGTTTTAACGTGTTAATTAAATTTACAATTAATTTACTTATTTCCAATTATATTACCTTTTAATTAAAGGTATACAAAACAAAAATACAAGCAAATATATTATAAAAACAATGTCTTATAAATTAATTAATAATATAAAATTTAAATAATAGGTGTCACCACCTGAAAATAGATGCCCAGGGCATGGCAGAGGCAAGGCAGGCATTTGGCAAAATTGGCATCTATTGTTTATGCCTGCCATTTTTAAAACCCTGGTTATAAGTAGGATTTGAGGGATGAATGATATGGAAAACAATTGATCACCGATTTTATGCCAAAAAAATAAATGTAACACAAGTGTCAAAATGTGTCAATAGGTTTCAACAAACAAGTGGTCAGTACTAACTTGTCGGTAACTTTTCGGTAACTTTTCGGTCACTTTTCGGTCACTATTCGGTCACTTTTTGGTCACTTTTTGGTTACACATTTTAAGTGATAATCGTTTTCAATGTCTTATTATATGTGTTGTTGATTGTTGTGAAAAAATACGACCAAACTATTGATGGATAGATTACTATAGTTATTATATTAATAGAAACAAATATATTTAGACAAAATTGTAATTATTAATAAAAAAAATTATAATATTATTTTTTTTTAATTATTTGTTTGGTATAAACTGGTTAATCATGTAAATTAAAACTGAAAAAATCTTAATATAATTTAGAAATAGAAATTTAATTTATATAAAAATCAGGTCAAATGATCTTGCGCCGCGTATTTTTTTGAATAACTTTTAAACGGTTAGAGATAATTTAATTGTGTAAAATACATTTAAGAATATCATATGGACCACACTTAATATACACGCAATCACAAAACTAGGATGACCAGATATACAAAATATCGGGACCAACGAAAAACACTATGCTACAGGTCAAACTACAACTGACAAATTTATTATGATAATGAAAATTTGTAGTCAAGTAATAATAGTTCAATATAAAAAAATAATCATCAAAATCGGATTGGTAGTTTTATTTTCATGGCTTGTTAAGTTCGTCATAAATCATATTATATAAAATAGTCTAAAATAAAAATGACGTTATTTATGAGTATTATATATTTATTAGATGATATTTTCTAATATATTACTAATTCTAAAAACCGAAATATAAATATGTCGACTAGTTTTCGAAATATAGATTATAATATCAAATTACAAAAATGTGATTTATATTGAAAAACTAGTCGACATATTAAAATTTCGTTTTTTAGAAACAGTAATATATTAGAAAATATCATCTAATAAATATATAATACTCATAAATAACGTCATTTTAAATTTAGACTATATATTTAACTCTCTCTCTCTCTTTCTCTTTCTCTCTCTCTTTCTCTCTCTCTCTCTCTCTCTCTCTCTATGCTTTACTATGCTAAACTATTTATGCAATTATTGTCTAATTGAATGATTATAATTTTATATTACTTTTGAAAAAATATATTTTGTTTTAAAATTATATAGTATTTTATATTTAAAAAAAACTAAAATGGATAATAATTTAAATAAATTATTAATGTTTTATTTACCTATAAACTAATTTAAATTAAGTATAACTACTAAATAAATGTATAAATAAATTTACTTTTTAATAATTATCATAAAATACTGTATAATATACAGTGTTTATGCAATAATATAATTATTTGATTAAATAATTTTTTAATATCAGAGATGTCAGTAGTTTATATCAAAACACACAGTGAAAACATGTGTATTAATAATAATATCAAATAAATTAGTAATAATAATAAATGATAACAACAATTATCTAATTGTTACACTGATTAGTAGAAAATAGTATTAATATTTTTTGATTAAATATACAGTGTTCAATGAAAACAATATAATAAATATTTTAAAATTATTAGTAAATTTATATAAAGAGAAATTATTTAAAGAGAATTTATTTAAAGAGAATTTATTTAAAGAGAAATTATTTAAAGAGAAATTATTTATAGCAAATTTATTGAGAATTTAGTGGAAAATTTGCTGGAATTTAACGAGAATTTACTCCAATTTGGCAAAAATTGTAGTTTAAAAATACAATAAAAATGTTCATCTCAACATATACCCCACCCCTAAGCTTTTTTCAAAATTTTTGCAATTTTATCCTAACCTATATTTCCTCCCTTAAATCGTAAACCTTTAGAAACAATCGTAATTATGTAAAAATGCAGTCAATTGATCTTGCGCCGCGTATAATTTCAATATAAATTACAATAGTGTGATTTATATTGAAAGTCGATTATTTCGAAAACGAGTCGAGAAATTAAAATTTCGCTTTTAGAATTAGTAGTATAATTGAAAAGTTAACCTAATAAATATATAATCTCCATAAATAATGTCATTTTTATTTTATACTATTTTATATAATATGATTTATGACAAACTTAACAAGTCATAAAAACAAAACTACCAATCAGATTTTGATGATTCTTTTTTATATTATACTATTATTTATTGACTACAAATTTTCATTATCATAATAAATTTGTCAGTTGTAGTTTGACCTGTAGCATAGTGTTTTTCGTTGGTCCCGATATTTTGTATATCTGGTCATAATAGTTTTGTGATTGCTTGTATATTAAGTGTGGTACATATGATTTTCTTAAATGTATTTTACACAATTAAATTATCTCTAACCGTTTGAAAGTTATTCTAAAAATACGCGGCGCAAGATCAATTGACTGCATTTTTATATATACCTGTATATACACTGTTTTGTTATAATATGCAACATTAAAGTTTATTTATGGCAAATGGTTTCTAGGATTCTTAACTGAAATTTTTCATGAAAACCATATTAAATATTTTATGACGAAATATAATTAATTAATTATAACTTATTATTAAATAAAATCAATGATTTTAATATAATATAACTTTAAATACTAATAAATAGTCATAAGTTTATAGCTATCAAATAGCAGAGAGTGACAACACATTGACAGACATACTGTTATATTACGAGACTATAACTGATCCATAAAAAAGATGACTAAATTAAACAAAAATATTTGTTTAATTGCTATCAAACTGTTTGGTATTAATAATAATAGTAATAATAATAGAATAATAATTATGCGAACTAAACTCTTTCATAAAAAAACTAGTTTTTTAATAATATATTTTCTATTATTATTTTTTTAATTTTAATTTTAAGTAATTTTAACAACAATTATCAACAGTCACACATACACACACACATACACACATACACACACATACACACACATACACACACATACACACACATACACACACATACACACACATACACACACATACACACACATACACACACATACACACACATACACACACATACACACACATACACACACATACACACACATACACACACATACACACACATACACACACATACACACACATACACACACATACACACACATACACACACATACACACACATACAGTACACATACAAACACATACACACACACACACACATACACACACATACACACACACACATACACACACACTTA